GGGGTGGCAAGAGTGAGGCAGGAGACATAGTGGGGAGCCAGGTTGAGAGGAGCGCTGGGGGACACACAGGGGAGCCTAACTTTTATTGAGTCACAAAGTGATCCCAAATGAGGAGGGATGTGACCCTATTTGCCATGCAGAAAACCTCTCTCTGGACCCCAAATCTGGAGAAGTGTATTTTGTTGAGACTCAGGTCTCTTCGGGAGGGCTCAGCATTTGTGGAGTCAACCTGTGACATCTACCACGATCATCACTACTGTCATCAGGATCAACAACTTCTTTCCCAGATCTCGCTCATGTTCCCCGCTGCCTTCCTGCAGCCTTCAAGGCTGCCAATCTGCCCAGCCCACCCTCTGTCTTTCCCTTTTCCTGGGGTTTCTGTTTTCAGCCTACCAGCAGGGGACTGCCCAGCTTTCCCCCCACACCCAGCATGCCCCCAACTCTGTACCTCTGTGCCTGGATGAGGCCGTTTGCTTCTCCCTGTCTGTCCTCATCATCTTCCCCCCTTTCCAAATCCTGTTAGATAAGGTAGAAAAATTCCTTCAGAGGATAAGCCCAGTGAATTTCATTTCTCCTCTGTAAGTTTTATGGACCAAACAGGACAAGATATAGTCAGGTAGTTTATCTTTGTGGTGAGAGAAATCTTATACCTTTGTTGTTTATTTTGTGCTACTGTGAATTGACACAGGTACACTCCTATTAATCACTCTTTATAATATAACATAAATTGCCTCATATGATCCTTTTAACACCCTGGTGTCATTGCAGGGTATGCACTGTAACCCCATTTTAAAGAGGAGCTAACTGAGCATGATTAAGCTACTAACTCATGCTAGGCAGTGGTTGGTATGCTAGGCTTCTGACCACCATAAATCTGCATGCTTTATGTGGACCGTGTTGCACAGTCCTGTGTGTGTGTGGGCATGGAATCACTCTGAGGAAGCTTTCACAGATAGTGAGACGATCACCTGTTGGCAGTGGAATAGAAGTTCTGCTTTTGAGGGGTAGGAGTGGGCTACATCCCTCTTCTAATTCTTCCAGCTGCTGGAGCTCTATTCTAGGTGAGGGTTCTGGTGTGCCTGGGCTTGGCTCCCAACTCCCAGGGTGCTGGCCTCCCCTGCACCAAGGGCCTTTGTCTTTTAGCACTGGAAGCCCTCACTTGGCTTCTTCCAGAAAACAGAACTGTGGAGTAATTGGATGCTTAAGCTCTGGAACTGGCCAGAGCTGAGTTTGACTTTCTGATTTCCAGCTCTGTGCCCTTGGGCAAGTCACCTAACCTCACTGACTCTTTGCTTCTGCCTCTGTAAGTTGGAGTAATAATGATATCTAGGGAGCCTGGTGCATAGTAAGTGACTCTAAAAATTAAAACACTTATTAGTGTTGTGCAGTTGAAGTTAAAGGAGAGGTTTCTGGGTTCAGCCCCACAGTAGTACCCTCCAAGGGGTGACTGAGGCCTCTGATTCTTGGTAGGACAGACACTGCTGGTGAGCCTGGGTGCCTAGCTCCTGCAAACACAGGGTTCCGCAGAGGCCTCACTCCAGGCAGCTCCCACTTACGTAAATACAAGGAAGCGATGGCTGGAGAAATGTGTCAACTTGGAATTGGGAGTCAGACAGACTTCAGATAATGAGTCCTCCAGTCACTGACTGAATAACCTTAGAAAAAAAATGCCTGATTGAATAGTTTCCTCATTTGTAATGTAAGGATAGTAATGGTTCCTTCCTTATGGTTCTAGGATTTAAAAAGTCAATGCCTGGAAAATAGTTAGTGTTGCCCTGGCACACATAGGAAGTGCTCAGAAAATGACAGCTGGATGGTGTTTCTTCTTCCTTGGTCTACTCTTCCTCTTCCTTAGTCTCCTCCTTTTCCCCTCTCCTCCTCCT